TCCCCTTTTTCACGGGTCTGACCGGCCCGTCCGTCTTGACACCTCTATGTTGGTTGACAAACATTGTTAACAATGTTGGAGGTGACAAAATCCGAACCAATGATTTAAAAAACAGTTTTTGACAATTTTAAAAATGGATAAATATGATAATGCCAACAAAGATTGTCATCCATGATCGTACAAACGAGATTGTACAAGTAGCATGATTGATGAGAAAAAGTATACTTACCAGCTCAAAAAATCAATGGATTTTCTATTGTACAGAACAGAAGAAGATACAAGGCAGTTGAAAATGACGAGGTTGTCCAATATGTCAGAAGATTTAAGGTAAGAATGTCCCATTACCAGCCGAGAAATGTTTTCACTTGCAATTACACAATCAATTAGATTTTCACAGTGGAAACGTAGGTGATCCAATGCTATAGTCCCAGCCGGATCGTCCAACACCAACGAGGTAGCTAACTTCCTGTTGCTTGAACCTGATATAAGCGACAATCGGACCGCACCAATGAATGTATTTTGCAGAAAGTGCAAATCTTCAAGAACAGTTTTCTGATAGCATTTTATCCGCCTTTTTTCTGTTTCCCGGTAGCTTGATAAGCACAAGTCAAGTCAGGTTTAGAGAAGCACTTGAAGTTGTCATTACATTTTCACGAGAGATCGACTGGAAACACCGTGCAACAACTTGACAAATCCAAGAAAACTAAGCTTTCCATCCGTGTGTCTAATCCAGTCGTGAAGAACAGCATGCACCGGAACAGATGGGCTCAGACCAAGCTCCTGGGACAGTAATTCGATAATTCTAATAATTTGATTACAAAATTGGTTGGGGGGGCGGGGGGAATAACTAAATTGAGCTCGTAAAAAAAACTAAATACCGAAGCCAATTCCTCGATCATGATTGTCCGGTTGCCATCCTTCTCGAAGAGTTCATAGGCACAACGAGCATGTTGCTCCCACCGCTCAAGAGCTTCAAGCTGATGGACACTTAATGCAGAAGCACAGAATTCTTCAAAATCCATCCTTCTGTACTGAAGCGCATTAAGCTGCCAAGACATGGGCGAAGATCAATTAGCACTAGGACTGTCAATGAATAGGATTTTGATCCGAATCCGATGAAATTAATGGGGCTGATAACCCAATCAAAATCCGAATCCGATAATTCGTCAACCAAATGAAGCAAATACTGATATAGATCAATTCAATCCGATAACAACCCCAATCCGATTTGTTATAATAATATAATATATTTTATATATTATCACATTATTTATTACACACAACTTTTTTCATTTTGAAACTTTATTATACCGTACACATAATTTTCAAATAATAAATAATATTAAATTATAGTATAATATTGTCAATTGAAATATTTGAAGATTTTTTTTATTTTTTATTAATTAAAATAAGATAAAAATAATTAATTTATTTTATAAATTAAACAACCAAAGGGGCCAACATTTGTACTTGCTTTCATTGTTCCCAACTTACCATTTCCCACATTGAATACTCGCTAAAATACCATAAGATTTGCAATCTATAAATAGGTGGGCCAAAAATTGGGTAAAAGGCTATCTCGGCCTTTTAATTTTGGGAAAAATTCATGGTTCAGGGATTTACTTTTAGGAAATCAAAAATCAGGTCCCAATGTTTAAAAT